ATTGGGCTTGAGGAACTCCCAGTTGCGCACTGTTATTTGGTACCATATGTTAGTATTTTTCCTTCATCATGTCGTGAAGCAACCAAAGTGAAAAAGCAAGAATAGCGAAACATACCCAGGTCCAAACCAAGCAAGTCACACCCCATCCTGTCATAAAGCCGTGCACTATGTAGCACAAACTCCCATTCAGCCTTGGGCGTCACCTTTGAGGCGCCGCGTAGCGTCTGCAGCGTTTTTTGCCGCAGCTGGGAGTATAGAATGACCAAGGCAGGGTCATCGGTCAGGAATGACTTGGACTTGAGGTCGGGCGACCCAGGGGTTTCCAAGAGGTCATACACCGGTGTCTGAGGTTTTCAGACACACAAGTTAGCAACCATCTATCTCTCTGGCAAAACCTCCCCGGAACATAACCAAAAACAAAACGATAAACAGAAAAGATAAGGAAGAAACTTACAACCAACGCCCGCACCGCCATATCCCTGCGATGCATCATCCAAAACGCCCACGACGCAAGCCATCGGTTGCCCTCCTGCGCCGCGATCGCCAGGACCTCCTCCTCCAGCAGCTTGCGTAGCACCGGGCCCTGGTCACCCTCGTAGACCCGTGCTACCGCGATAGCCAGCTGCAGGTCCCTGAGCTGGTTCAGGCAAAGACTCACAGCTTCGGACAAGTGGTCGCCCAGCAGGAAAAAGGCCACAGCGTACTCTGTACCACAGAGCAAGCATGTCAGCAAACCAAACCCCTTTCAAAACCTGCATCTTTCCAGAACAAAAAGCAACATCTGTGAAAGAAAAAGACAAGACTTACCATACCGTCTCCTACTCATCAACGCATACGCATTCTTCAACGCCGCCGTCCTCCACCTCGGATCCTCAAAGTTATTCGCCAGCAGCTTCTGCGTCGCCTTCTGCTCCTTGTTCCCGTGCGCGATCCTCCACAACCCCTGCAGCACCGTCTTCTTGCGCAGCGCCAGATAATACAAACTGCAATCCACCGGGTTCTTCTCGTCCTCCCTCTTCGTATACTCGTTCCGCGCAATCACCTCAAATTGCGCCCGCACCGCCGCCGTGTCCGTCAGCCACATGAACATGCCGCTCTCGCGCGCGCTGTCCCACCGCAGCTTGCCGTGCTGCCGGCGCGTCGCAAAGTCCAGCAGTATGTCCTGGCTGCCCGAGTGGTATGCCCAGTTGATCTCGCGCCACGGAGGCTGAAGCGAATACCCCCTGCGCAACGCGTGCTGGCGGAAGAAGAGCATGAAGCGCGCCCCGTTCTCGTCCAGCGACCGCCGCTGCTTCTCTACCATGCCGGCGCACTCGACAATGTCCAGCAGCTGGATCTGCTCTTGGCTCGAGAGCTGCGGCAACTCGATCCGTTTCAACTTCTTCGTAATGGCAGCAGCAACCTCCTCGCTGAACGAGTCGTCGTCGCCATCGTACGACATGCGTCGACTACTAAAATACTCCCCGACGTCCCTACCCGCCGAAGACTTGTGTATCGTGGTCTTCACCCCGACCCCATAAAATACCCCCATCTCCAGCCCAAGATAATCATCCACCGCCTCCCCCTCCACCCAATACATGAGCGTCTTATTTAGCGCCAGCAGAATCATATGCACGAGCGCAATCTTGCCCGCCAGCATGCACTGGCTCAGAAACTGCGGATGAAACACCGGCAGCGGCCCATTCAGCCTCTGCACCACCTCGAACAAATCCCACTTCCCCTTACCCTTCCCCCTCTTCTTCTCCTCCCCCCCTTCCCCCCTCCTCAACGACCCCACCCCCAAGCTCTCCTTAACAACCTCCCTGCTCTCCCCCACATCAAACAGCCGATCGTGCACAAAGAACTGATTCCCCGCCCCAATCACCAGATGCCCGTCCCCCAGCCAGGTGCTATCCCCGATCGGATGCGGCGTAAACTCGCGGATGCTGATCTCCCTGACCGCCGCCCACGCCGGCCCCTTGTTCAGGTAATCAAACCGCATCTGCGACAGCAGCAGCACCCTATGCGGGAACCCCACCGCCAGGATCGACTGACTGTCGGGCGTCGACGTCCAGTCGAGGTCCTGGATCGTCGTGTGCTGGCTCTCAAAGTCCTCGTTGTACTCGAGCCGCGCGCCGCGAATGTCCCAGATGGTCAGGGCCGAGCGCGTCGCGTTGACCAGCGCCGCCTTCTTCATGGTGCTGCCGCTCACGAGGGCGGGGCTGGCCACGCCCGTCTCCATCGAGCTGGTCGAGAGCCATTCTACCTTGGCCTCTGCTATCCCTGCTCCTTCTCCTGTAGTCTGCTGCTGTTGGTGGTGTCCGACCCTCGCTGTCCAGAACTCGACTCGGCCCGAGTGCGTGTACGAGATGGCCACGTCGCGCGCAAAGACGTCGAGAAAGCCCGAGATGACGGGGGAGGCGCCGGCTGGGTCGACTGGGAGGACGTAGGCGAGGTCTCCAGCATCTTCTAGTTGGAATTTGACGAATTCGCGGATTGCGCCTTGTTGTTTTTGTTGCGGGTGATGGGTGGTGCCGTTGCTGTTTCCGTTGACGGCTGCTGCCGGCGCGTTGCCACCGTCGTTGGGGGAGTAGAATGGAAGCTTTACTTCCCAGACGATGCCTTGCTTCTCTGATGTGATGGTGGCAATATGCGCTGTGGTAAACTCCTCAGGTTTGTGCCGGGGAAGGATAAGTAAACAGAGCGGCTTCCCTGGGATATCATAGGAGGTCTCGGCCAGTAACAGGGGATTCGACTGCCGGGAGTCCCAAAGGGATATGGTCTCATGTCGGAGGAATACAACAAAACGCCCCTTTCGAAGGAGACACATTCGATGAATATGTTGGTCATGATTGATGATCACCTGGCGGGACAAGGTCGTCCGCTTTGAATTTAGCTCGTGTTTCCATATGATGCTCTGGCCGTTTCCTGTGCGTGATACGATGGCGCGGCCACTATTGTTGCGAACGATTTTCCTAATAGGTGCCGAATGCCCAGTCCACAGACATTGCAGCGTCATGTGCACTGCCTTGGGGTTCGGGTTGAAGAAGGAAGCGATGTTGCTGCGGTAGACCTCGACTCTGCCGTCGAAGAAGTGCAGCAGGATGTGTAAGTGGCCGCCCGTGTTGCAATAACTGTAGACCTCGACGTGCGGGCTCAACGCGGCCGACGCGCCCTTGAGAAAATCAAATTCTGCCGACGTGACATGGGCTACGCTGAAGATATTTGACTTTTGCGTCTTACACCCAACATTCTCCAGGGCCCAGGCAGACATGTGGCCCCGGCCGTCCATCACGACACATATCTCGGGGCTCCGATTCGCAACCGCGATAAGGTGTTCTAGCGCAGGGACGTCCTCGTCCAGCGACGCCCCTTCCTGCACCGCCTTCTCTGTCGCATTAGAGAGATCCCGGCCGTGCATGACAAACGCCCAGCGAAGGCTCGGCACGCCGCCCGTGCCCGAGCCCTGGAGCGCTCTGTCCTGGATGGCGGCCGCCAGGTCGACCTTGCCCCACAGGTGCAGATGCTGCTGGCCGTGACTATCGGAGCCAGTCCATATGCGCAGCTGGTTGTCGACGCAGAAGGTGTATAGAACGTTGTCGATGGTCTGGTCGACGTGGTGGGGACGCCGCCACTGGATGCCCGTCACGAGCTCCGGGTGTGGCAGGTAGATGAAGTCGAAGCGCACATCGTCGGAGCCGAAGCTCAGCCGGCGCCAGACCTTGACCAGTCGATCGTACTGGCCTACGGAGGCAATATAGGCCGAGTCGTAGGACAGGCTGGCGAGGCGGGCGGGGTTGGCCAGGCGCTTGCGCCAGGAGCATTCGGGGGTTGAGGAGGTTTGGTATAGCTCGAGGGAGGAGTGGGCGACTAGCAGCTCTTCGGTGGCGCCCCACGAGAGGGATATGGCTGTGGAGGACTCTCCTTCTCCTTTGTTGTCGTATCCGTCTTGTTCGAGGGTGAAGGTCGATTGGAGCGCCCACTAAATAAGGTAGGCAGTGTCAGCGACTGATTCTGTTATGATGTGTAGCAGAGAGAGGCTTGGGAGACAGGTGCGGGGCATACGCTTAGGGCATCCTCGTCGTGACCGTAGGGCTTGTATATGCGGACGGCGCGACGGGTGCAGACGGCTATCTTGCCCGAGGCCTCGTCCAGGGCGATGGCCTTGAGAGGCGCCTCGTCGTCATCATAGACGGTCTGGAGAAGGGTGTCGGGCTCGCCGAGGATGGAGAAGGCATTGCCAGTTATATAGGCCTATGTATGGGAGGGAGACAGAGTCAGCTTGGTGGAAGTTGGTTTAGTAGACATTGACACTCACGGTGACGCGGCGGGAATCCCAATAGCCCGTTGCCAGAGCTTGAAGCCGGGATTCTGGCTTTCCGGGCAGGACTGCTTTCATACTACCGGCAGGTGATATGCTGTGCTAACATCTCGGCGCAGAATTAAGCTGTGTATCGTTTGCACCCAAAACAGCTATTAAAAGGCGGATACTTTGGAATTAATGGTGTGATGAGGTGGTGGTATTCACGATGCGATGCATGCGATGCGATGCGATGCGCGAGACACGGATGGATCTATGGCCCTTGTTGGGCGACGTTGACAGTTGAGTCGATGCCGGCTGGCAACCAGGTAGGTACCTTAGGTGTGCGTGCAGGGGTTAAAAGAGCTATATCCCGCTGCCCGAATTAGGGGTATTAGGACGTCAAAGAAGCACTGCACCGATACATCGATGTTCAAGGAGTTTTGAGTCACTACGAGTTTGTTGCTTCAACAATTCATAGATCTTACGATCTTAAGGAGTCGGCCATTCAAAAGGTACAACGCTATCAAAATTACACGTGAAGTGGTTTAGGCATACCGTGACATGTCTCGAGCTCGAGCTACAGAGCGCGTTGGGAAGACGCAACCTTATGACGTGGGGTTAGCTGCCCCCGGAGGGGCGCGAGTGAGGGGAACTCAGATTTTGCGCACACTTGTTAGTTTGAATTTAGGACTGCGTGAACTCGTCAAACACACTGAATGGTTGTGTAGTGTAGTGGTTATCACTTTGGTTTTTGAAGAGAATCTTTCTCATTGTCTACCAATAACCCCAGTTCGAACCTGGGCACGACCTTCATTTTTTATATTCACTTTTTTCTTCTTTTTTTCTTCTTCTAATGCTCTCTTCCAATTTCACATTTCCTGCATCATTTCTCCTTTCAAAGTTTGAATTTTCCAACGCTCATCGTATTACGACGTGGTCATTTTCGAGCAACTCTGCGATAGCCATGTGCTATCCCATTACGACACCCTCTGAACCTCCTATATGACGACAGAAACTATCATGGTCTTTCACATACGGCCATAGATAGTGGAAAACTCGGCATCCCGTCCGCTCTGCCCTAGATAAGCCACTAATCGCCAGACTAGTAGTTGGGTCGGTGACGACCAGCGAATCCCTGGTGCTGTATGTTTTTCTTCCCTCTTTTTGATTTTTCTTTGCTCGTTATTCTTTTAGGCACTCCAGAGCTGTCTGTAGTTAATGTTATTATGTCAAGTTAGAATTGACTCTGATAGGGTACTTTTGCACGACACATAGATGGACAGCCCTGACTCTAATACAGGAAGACTCGGTTCATATCATGTACTTTATATGGCCGCCTGGCCCTCGAGGCGTCATCTGTTTACGCAACCAGACCGGTACCTGAGGACCTTCCAATTTCGGTAGGGTAAACCTCTGAATTATTCACTCGACGCATCAAAGACATGGATAGAACCGTGTTTTGTCATCATCCTTTACAGACTGGACTGTATCTGTCTTTTACACACTGCACTACCCTACCCTTAATGGTCTCTGATCTTACTTCCTTAAGAAGCTTGCATTGCGGTCCAGTCCCAGCTGCATTTGCATTTCTACCCACCTCGGCCAGCTGTTGAACTCGGCATATTCCAGATGGACATGACTGTTGAGATGGCTCAGCCACCGCTTCATGCCCATGTCTATCCCCATTTCCTCGGCCTGACTGCCGACGGTGGTGGTGCTGGTGGCCATCATGATTATCTGCTTCAACGCAATCCAGTGCGTCGCCAGGAGAAGCATGGCCTGGTTGTTCTGGTTGGCTACGTGCTGGAACTGCTCGTGCGGCAGCGTCATCCACCAGGCGTAGTGTTTTGCTAATGCTTGATAGGCTTCGCTTGTCAGTGGGTATAAACAAAATTTTAGTGAGCTGTGGGCAAACGCACCTCCTCTCCACGACGATACACGGAGCTGCCTCGCCATGTCGAGCAGCATCCTGTGGTACTCCCTCTCGATAGGGTTGTTGTTGTCTCGTAAAAGCGGCTCAAGCGTCTGTACCGCCATCACAGCCACCGCGCCGGCACAGCTCTTGTCGATTAACGGTACTAGCAGCGGCTCCTGATATTGCGGCTGCTGCTCGGGTCTCTCGTCGCCCTCCTCCTTCGTCTTCTCCATCTCGCCACCTCTAAAGATGGACTTGATACCCCTGGCGTGCATGTGCGATGCCACGATGGCGATACCCCGGGCAAAAGTCATGTACCCGACCATGCCGTCGTCCAGCAGCACCGACTGGAAGGTCAGGACGAGACACGTCGCCATGAGCGCGTTGTTGTTCTCCTCTTCCTCTTCCTGCTCAAGCGTCGTGCGGGAGGAGGAGGAGGAGGAGGAGGAGGAGGAGGAGGGCTTTGGTGGCATGTCTGATACTGATAGCAGGGCCCTTTTGATATCGTTGACGGCTTTGTGCCGGTGTACCAGTGCAGGGGCTACGAGGCTGGCGTCGTGCTGCATCAGGTCTGAGGCGGCGTAGCCCAAGATGGCGTGCATTAGATGTTCGTGCTGGAGGGTATGTTAGTACGTGAGTCAATACTGGCCGAGAGGAAGGGGTCTGGTTGACAGAGATTAGTTTCTTTCCTTTTGCGACAGGAAAGGGACCTGATGCGGCCATGTGCTGTTGTTTTTAGATCCGACGGCATGCCGAGGACCATGGCATTGGAGGAGAAAGTGCTGGAAGAAGCGCATGTCCTGTAGGCTGAATAGGGGTATTTGGTGTTGTGGCTAGCAATGACAGTTTATTGCCCAGTGGTTAGCTGAGTAAGTAGTAGCAGCCAGGCTCTTGCTTTTCTTGACCAGCGTATAGCTCACCTGATGCTGCAGCATGACATGTTGTGGCATTGTGGGATACTCGCATTTTAGTCCTGTCTTGATGCAATGGCCACAGGCTGGTCTTGTCTCTTGACACTGGCTCCTCTCGTGTCAGGTTTTGAGGTTTGACATTTGACCGAAAAAGGGACAAACTGGTATTCGTACCTTGATGCGGCGCCTCTTGCAATGGAAACATCCTCTGCGGCTCTTTGTGTGCCCTCGCCGCTCTACTCTCTGTTTCGGCGGTAAGGATGTGCTCTGCCCAATACTGCCTGCAGCTGGTCCTGATCTGGTGTTCGTGCCTGTGTTCGTGCTGGTTCTGGGGCTGCTATTGGTAGCAGGGGCTATGATTGTAGGCAGGTAGCCCGTCAATGTTTGCAACGAGTCATCCGAGAGTGTGGTATTGTTTGTCGAGGTTGGGCTTCCTTCGGCAACATAGTCGATGTCGTTGCCGTGAAGGAAGGCAGCGTAGTCAAAGTCTGGGAATGGAGGCTCGTCGTCCAGGCCAGGTGGTGGGAATAGGTCAAGTGGCATTCCAAATTCCATGATTGTTGGTGGTGTCGGTCCTCGATAAAGGGGGCAAAGTGTGCAAATGTAAACATCAATGGGGCTCTACTTGACGAACTACAAAAGCTTATTACTTCGTAGGGGAATGGATATTTGACTACTTCAAGTTGTTCCTTTCTCTTCTTCATTCCCAGCGGGCCACCTATCCGTCTATGCCTTTCATTTGTTGGAATTTACGCGGTCTGCCACCCAACCCTGAAGTTTGAGTAGCATTGTGGCAGTGCTATTATTGAGACAGATCGCATTCATAACGCCGGTTTGGGAAAGCATACGAGGCTCGCCAGGTATCGTTCAGCACCATCAACCATCTCTTTCTATAACGCAGCAATGTCCAGGCGCATACACCACTTCACTGTCGTTCTGCACTGATAGTTAGTATCGCCGACTACCCCCTGAATTTTATAGGTAGAGCCGTGATTCTGAGTCCTGTTGCAGGCTTTGGAATCTGCAACTCCGGCAGTTGCTATGCGATTGGACGGCGAGGGTTTCCCCTGACAGCCCGGGTGTCCTATCAGCCCCAAGGCGTTCTTTCATAGCAAATAGCGAATAGCAAATAGCAAACTATGCCGAATGAAGGATTCGGTGTGCATTGTATCATCGATGCAGTCACCTTTGGCAGCCGCATTGACCTGTTGAACATTAGCAGAGTTTTGATTCGACTTCCAAATACTATTAGCCTCCATGTTATCAGTTATACATTATACACAACAACCATGTGCATGTAAGTGGGTGCGGATTGACAGTCCGAACGTAATTGCAGTGAAGTGCAGAAAAGGTTTTGGCAACCGGAATTTTTGAGCTACCTGGCGAGCTGCACGGGTTACATCATCATGTCTTGCTTGAATTGGTACATGTACGGAGTACCTGCTCCCAAGTACGGTACTTTCGGCAGTCTGCCGTCGTATCTCGACCAGTCGGCGTCTCACCAGCTGGTTCATGGCCCAATTGCGTTGCACATACGTAACGTATATCAAAGTTTAAATTGCAAGGCATTCTCGGTAAGTAAGGTACTTCCCAACAGCAAGGTCACCGATGTGACCAAGGAGCAAGTGTACCGAAACTGAGCTTGTCTGCAATGTTGGTGTATGGTTAGGTCTAGTGTTTTGCGATTGAGGAAATACTCATCATCATGATGCTTGAAGTAGTGTACGCACGCACTTGTCCGTCGTTATGAAACAGAATCTCGGGTTGGCTACTAACTTTAGCAAGATAATTGGTCGTTTAATTAACCAACTGAGCCACTTCAGTGCCGGCCCGTCCGCCCGTCCCCCCTCGGCAGCGGACATTTGAAGCACGTTCGGGTTGCAGCAGCGTACAGTACCATACCTAAGGTAGGTAGGTAGTGAATATTGTCACGTAGCACACAGTCGGCACACAGGCGGGCTTTCCCCAATTCTGCCGAGATTTTCTTGTGTTCTGGAACTACCCGGTTCTTTTGTTATTGGACACGTGAGTGTGGGATGAATCCCGTCTTTTTGCTTGCTTTCTTTTCCCGTGTACCCCTTAATATCGCAACCCGTGTCCTAAAATTTGACAACACGCGATAACCCGGATAATGTTCTCGGCAGCGGTACGTACTCACGTGTGGGTCATGTATTAACAGCACCCCATCCATTCCGCAACAGAGACGATTTTATCGCGGTAGAAGATGATGCTTTGTGCAATGGAAATCCAAGGCAGTCAGCTGAACCAAGCCACCGATGGAAAGTACTGACTCGTCCTATTTCTTCTTCAATGAGTGACTACTTCGTGTAGCCAAGACGCGCCGGAGGGACGGTGGGCTGCCGGCAATTGCATAACATGGTGATGATGGGGACCGAGTGGTTAAGGAGGAGGAGTCGGAAAGGTAGAAAGTACGGGGCATAACGGCCCGCATCGTTGTTTGATGCGGCGACGGTGGCGTATGATGTGGAGCCCAAGTTTGAGTATTGTGAGCACTTGGGGATGAGAAGATGACTGGGAGGGGCGAACCAAACGGGGAATCAGGTGAAGAAGCCGGCGACGGGAACAAACTGGAGAGGCCGTAGAATCCCAAATGTTGCCCCTTGCTCTCATAACACTCCCAATCCAATCGCTCGATATCGGCTCCAGCTATACCAAACTCTCGCTTCATTCAGCATATGCCAAAACACAAACGAAGGGATGCACTAACACCCTTCATTCTTCAAGCACGTCATACCACTCTGGAATCTCCTTAATGAGACCCCACATGTACTTCTCCAGCTTGACCGCGCACTTGGTGTACACAGTTGTTGCATCATTATACTGCCGACAGTTACTAAATATCAACTTCAGATCGGCAACAAGATCTTTCGGAGCAGTATAATAATCATGCTCCAATCTCTCCTCTATAGTCGATAGATCTATCGGTTGTGCAATGATATTGTAATAGTCAGGCACTTCGTCTC